GCCAACAAAACCGGGTCTGCTGCAGCCGCCGCCGCCACCCGAGCCTCCTCCGGCCCCCCTTGGGCGGACCAAACTCTCCGGCTCCTCCCTTGTCGGACCTCCTTCCCCAGGGGGGCGGGCGGGAAGCAGCACCAGCAGCAGCAGCAGAGAGAGAGGGGCAGACAATGGGAGGGGGGCGTCAAGTTGGGAGCGTCACTACAGCAGCCGCCGCCGCTTGCGAAGGGACCCAACCGCATCGGCAAGCCGAGAGAGAGCTCTTTGGCTCGGCCCCGCCGATCGGAGCCAGGGTCAGGCCCCGCCGGCCGCAGTTCTGCCCGCTTTGTCCACCGCCCGCCTGGCCGGAGGACCCCGATCGGCAGCGGAAGAAGCCGCCCTGGGGCCGATCTCTCCCCACCCCGCAGGAGCTTTTTCTGCGGACGGATGAGGCGCGCCCGTCGGATCTCACGCGGTCCCTCCTCTCCTGTTACATAAAAAGTTTGTTCTCAGCGGCTCTCCACGAGCGCCTGGGGTTTCCAGAGAAAAATCCTCGAGCCCAAACGCCGCTTCGGTTGGTGCTTTGATTGAGACACCGGGTGACGAAGCCGCTTAATCCGATTCGGGCAGTTATAAAATGCAAGGCTGTAACCCTAATGCATGTTTCCCCCGGGAGTAAAGCCCCCCTGCGATTCCCCCCCCCCCGATTTCAAATGCGAAGGTTCAAAGCACGCTCCCCTGAAATCGTTCCGACTTTGGTTGTAAGTTTAAAAACAAAAAACAAACCTAAACGCGTTTAAACTCCATTTTAGATTTAACGGGGTTTGGGTCAAAGCAGGTCAACGGGATTAAACACAGCGCGGCCAGAAAGGAAATCTACCCCCTCCCCCCCCGGCCAGATTTTCTGTTTTAAGAGTCCCATTGCAGTCAGGAGGGCTACTCGGGAGTAGGTAAATACAGAGCTGCCCTTCTAACCGTTTTCTTTGCCGCCTCCTCAGATGTGACGCTCAACTGAGAGTGATCAGGAAGTCAGGCTCACTGAAGTTTGAGCGCCGTGGCGCTGACTCCCGGGCAAACGATGCTTAAGGAAACAAAACTACTACGCCACAAGTGGTTTGTGCAGCGCGGTCGGGAGGCGCATTCCATAGGCGGACAAAGCTGCCCGCCCCATCATCTCCCCAGCACATTTCGGAAAACAAACGGAGAGGCTCTGAGATGCATGACCCTTTTTTTTTCCTGCCAGAATTAGCGGTCCCGACGTGAGAAACTGCCGTGGTCCGCATAACTGTGGGGAGGAACGAGGCGACTCTCCCCCCATTTTATTTTTTTAATAGCGCTGCCCCGACCGAGGAATAAAGGGCCCCCGTGGGTGACCGATCCCCTTCCGGCGCCCTGCCTGCCGCTGGGCTGGAGATCACAGTGATAAAAATACCGACTAAGTTTAGAAACGGTGGCGACGGGAATCCCCGTCCCGTCCCATCGACTTCTTCAAATAACCGCCCACCGAAAAGTGGTTTAGACGAGCGAGATCCCCCGCCGGGGGCGCATCCAAGCCGAACGCGCCTGCGAGGCGATCTGCGCGCAAATAACGCGGAGCGGAGTTAAGAGGCAAATAAAATACAGAGCGATTCACCGGGGCAACCGAACCCAGCCTGGCACAAGCGGCGCCGCCTCGCACTCACCGTCGTCTGCAAACACAAACACACCCCGGACGGCAGCGATTGAGGTAGATGGGGGCGAGGGGAGCCCTGCCCGCCGCGGTGCCCTCCGTTTCCTCCGGGCTTCCAAAAGCCCCGGTTGCCTCGGCCTGTCTCAGCTCCCCGCCGAGTTCTTTTGTTGTTATAGAATCCGGCAAACAGCTGATCGGCAGGGACCGCCCCCT